TACAGTTAACTGTTTATAAGAGTGAATCTTACTCTGCCTCGCTTACTGAAGCTAGTGTTTCTCACGATGCTGTTCTCACTCTCTCCCTCTTCTCTCCTCATTCTTCTCACATCACTCAACTTGTTGTAACGCGTTCAACTTCATCAGATACGCTGACGATCTGACCATCTCACTTCCTGTCATGTCACAATTAGACTGTTGCACACTTGATGGGTTATTGTTGGATATCAGTCAGAGGTTCAAGCTAAACGTTCTAACGTGAAATCCCTCAAAATGCAAGACTATTCACTTATCTTTCGGAGAGAAACGTGGTCTGCAAAGAATACTTAGTACACATGACGCTTATGGCATACAGGGGACTGTCAGAGAAATTGAGTCTGGCACAAAAAACCTTGTTACGGTTCTATGCACTGATCTTACTCGGTCACCCATATTTCGATGATCCGCAAAAAGCCGTTCGTCTATACCACTACATTAAGAAGCTGAGACAAACTGGAATCACTCAACCTCTACTTTGAAAATTGTGCAAATCTACTCTCCTACCTATGGAACGTTACTGCCTTCACAAACTTAGTATTTCCTGGTCGACTGAGAAAGGACCGTGTCAATTGGGGAAGGGTATCAGCGGTATTCAATAGGGCCATTGGTGAGGAACGTGGTCATTCAGCTTGTCACTTACCACATTATTTGATAGACATCTGAACGCATGCGAGAAATGGTCTGAATCAAAAATGTCTTACACTCAACACCCACCACCTCTATTCTTATCTCTCCCCACACGTGTATCTCATCTGGTAGAACTGGGAGTCAGTACGAAAGACTGTATGCTCATACTACCGAGTGTAGGAAACCAAAGGTTCCATATTTGGCCAGCATGTGATCTATGCGATAGAGACAATTTTTACTCGGTTGCTTATGAACTGCTACGCTGTTAGCAATATAATGGTCTCTCCGATTGTCTCCTACTTGCAATCTATGCTGACACCATCTCAATCAACCGACAATCTTACCTACTAACATGAATATTATTTTGATGTATGTATGTATGACTTCACTGTCACTAGAAACACGAAATGCGAACTGCCAATAACAATCCTGTGATGGAATCTTTGTAGTTGTTTTTGTCGTTATTTGAGAAAAGTAAATGCAATACTGTTTCAAATGCTGTATGATTCGTAGTGTTTGCGAATAGAGCAAATTATTTTTACGTTCATTATCAAATTAAGAGATGATCACATTGTGGAACTGATCATAGCCATCTCATATAGTCTCTAGAAAGATCAGTGAAACGGTATCATTCAGTTGACGTGGAAATGATTCTTCACTACATCCACAATGATCGCCATCCTGACTGAATCACACAACTCATCCATCAGCTTCGTCAAGTGAATATCAGAGATAATGTGACCTGCATGTATCGTGTTTACTCATTCATATCATTGATATTATGAAAAAGTGAGTGTACACAGTTTCAGTGTAGATATTTTTAGAAAGTTACCAACCTCCTCAATTGTGTTCATAATCAATGATCACCAGCCTACACATAAAAATAACGCATGAGACATCAATCATATCGTACGATGGAAGAATTTGCACAGGGCGGAATTATTTGTGTCATTTCAGGTCAACTTCATGCTTTGCTTGTTTGATGAAAATTTGTCATTGTTACTAATTATTTGCATTTTAGACGTATTTTCATAGAATGAGAGATTTTCAGCCAGGATTTTGTGTCGAATTCAGAAGATTAGTGAGAAATGCAGGCGAATAAGCTGGACAAATTTGCTGCACCACCCCACTGATTCAATTCGCATACTGCACTTTCGTCTCACATTTCGTCTGTTTAAATGCACTTCACCACTGATCATTTCATTTTTGATTTATAACATCAGTGTGAAGGTCATTCCAGTCAAGTAATACACCTTTCTAGCTGTAATTGAATGCTTCTATTTGTGGTGGTGCAGTTAATTTTAAATGTGCTAAAGAACGGTGTGGTTCTGGTTGACTGATTCAACGTGATTGTGTCCTTGAACAAATCTTGCGATGCATTGTAACTGCATGAGTCTTAACCATAATACTCTACACTTTGTTACCACACATTGAAGACATCTCCAATGAAGAAATTACTGGATTTCGTTAGTCACTAATTCTGACGAAGAACGACAATACTCCGTATCTACTCTCCTGGATTTACACCTCCTGTATGATGCTTCGAAATATAAATGCAACTGATGTCTGACAAACAGCGCATTTCTGATGCGAAAAGACTGAGGTGAGACGAGGAAATGCTTGCAATGTCATCTCACATGCTTGAATCACACACACCTTGTGTCCCTAGTGTAAAAGCTTACAACACGTCTAGATGCAAGCTGATGGTTCTATTCGATAAACTCTACACAAACGAACCTCACAGTCAGTGTAACCTAAGTTCTCCTATTTGAATTTCAAATCACCACTCCAAATGTATTTGTCTTTATCCCTCGTTGCTTTCGAATCAACATAACTGTTACTGGGTTCTCGATCTCATCAGTACTCACTTCTTTCCACAATGATTGTTGGTGATGTACAAGTAGTGGTTATCTACAATGCACAAAGTACACCATACTAAATAAGTCCAAATCGCGAGTTCAACACTAATATCCGTTTTCCGAGGTTGGGAAGGTTATTCATTCCCTCTCCTTCGAATGTGTTGAGGGACGACATGATTGTCTATTAAACGTGAAATGCATAGATGTGACTTATGTTGAGGCGAGTTTAGGTGATGGGTAAAGTGATATAAGGTACAGCCGACTCCAATTCTTTTTCAAAGTTTCATTTGTCAAAGTGGAATGACTTTTGATGAGATAGAAGCACAGGGGGAGAAAGTCTAGTGAGATATTCGCCACTGTATATCACTACTAGTTATCTATCAAAGAACATGCGTAGTGAGGAGAAATTCGCTCTGATTTTCCTTACAGATGTGATGTGATGAGAGGAAATGAGTGGCTGAGGCTGTTGAGCTGAATCGAGTGAGATGGCTGAAATGTATCACACATACACCATGCTATCGCATCACTCTTCGGCACTGACCTCTGAGCTAAAATCGGGTCAGGTTGGGAAAGAGTAAGGAGCAGTCAAATCACAATCTGTCATCAATTAGCGAATCCTGTAACTTTTGGTTTCAGCCACGTATGATATTGTAGACTGTCTCGTTGAAGTCGTGGAGACTCTGAGAACTGATGGCTGAAGACTGTCAGTATCGGAGTCAAAATTGTTCACAGGGATGAAAACGCATCCAACATTTATCAACTCGTGAAAGCAGCAAGCTCTCTTCATTCTTCTTCCGTCGACCTGCTCAAATTCTATCTACCTTCTGACACTTGCACAGGACAATACCTCCACAATATTTATAGACCTTAGTCAGGAGTTGGCACTAGAAGACTATACCTTAGGCCTTCACAAACCCGAATTTTGATATAACGTGGAATTTGAGTGGATAAGATGGCACATGAACGAGAATGATCCTCGCCTAAAAGTGGTCAATGCGGTTATTGTATAATACGAGTGAATGCAGCTTCTCTAGATTGAACCTGCAAGTAATGATAGCGAATCCAACAGCTCTGATGTGAATTAAAGCAATTCCACAAAACCAAATCATCATGATGTGCATTAAGATAGATGTTACTTCTGCGAATACTTATTCATGCACAATAATTTAAAAGCAACCCTTGAGACATTATATAAGGTTCACTATAAAAATTTGTAGCTCACGGGGTTAGTTTTGATGTAGTTACGTAGACAATTCAGCTGAATGGTCTACTCGCGAAACTCTCATTACCCTGGCAGGCAGCTACTCCATCCTACTCTTCAAATTGTCAAAGTCAGCATTAAAATTTGTCCACTAGTTTATCAGTCCGTACACCGGGTGACAATGAATGCCGTGATTGTTTGTTCTTTTCCGTTTTCACACCTTCTAGTCAAGGAATTGCTGTCACACACAAACCAAAAAGATCACTCCAGTCCGCTGACTCTAAGTAAGCTGAAAGGTTCAACAGAGAAACACAAACGTTGTCGACCGACAAGAGTAACACAAGACCAACATCATCTACAAATTATGTTGCAGCGACTGAGACTAACACCACATGAGTCAAAGTGGACTCCCTGTCTGGCCGCACATCCACGATAAATCCTACCAATCCATGAGAGGAAACTCTCATGCACAAAAAGTTAAATTTCTCTTCATGGAAACAATACAAGTAGACTGGGGAATGTGGAAACAGAGAACAGCAAGCAATCATGACATTTTCGGTTAACACTACGCGTGATTAATAAACTTATGAAGAAATTCCAACGCTCACTTCGACAAATTGAAGTGTGCGCTGAAAATGTGGCCTAGTAAGGCTGTGAAGGACTCAGAAGAACACCATGCAGTATAGACAACTCAAGTACATCGAAAACATTCTACGAAGGAACTTCATCTTCACGGAATATTACAGCGTTCATATAATCCCTGGTAAAAGCGACTCAATTTAGACATAGCTGAATCAGACTGAGGCGAAGAATTGTGAATCCAACATTGTGTATTTGATGACTTCGCCTTCTTTTCTAAAACGGTGAAAAATAACAAACTGAATGCGGGAAGTCATGGAATGATTGATTCACAAGAACAAACTTATGACATTTTGTGTACTACTGAAATGAAATAATATTTTCAAATAATGCTCAAGTGTCACAGACTTCATGTGGACGCCATCGCATGAGTTCTGCTCACTATTTAGATTAAAGTGTTCCTACAGATTGACAGATTTCATCGCACCTATCAGATTCCACCGATTCATTATGTGAGTCACGCAACATCATTATCCGTTGATTCACTCACCAATCACAACACTCACCTACACTGTTCCACAAATGAACGGTGAAATTATGATTGTTGTAATCAACCAATGATCAGAATACATCAATGACTGTGACTGCCTGTTTTGGTATAAATACAGGAACGGAAAGTCAGTTACCATAAGAAGATGGTCTACTTCACATACAGCCAAGTAGCTTTCGTCACTCTCTTGGCATTCGCAGCCATAAATTCAGGTGAGCATTTTTTTCAAAAGATTTCTGGCTTAATTCTTACGAAATGTTTGCCTTATTGACTAGAACTGTTGAATATTTCGCCAGTCACTCTCACATTTTACATATAATTTCATCTCGAATTCATCTTGTTTGATGGATGGTGACCGGCAGTGTAATAGTACTCGTGGAGGCGTCTCTCCTCTTAATTCTGACTCAGTGACTGTGTATATAAACATTTGCACAGTGGCATGTTCTCTCATTCTGTTAGTGTTTTCGGCTATAATTTTCATTGTTCTGATTATCTTCATAGTTCTGAAACTGCTTCTTTGTATAATAATTGTCGTTTAAAAATTCTTGATTTCATTTCAAGGAGAATCATTGAATCCAACTGTCATTAACGAGAGGCTAAATAAAATTGAAGGTAAGAATGAATAATGTGCATATTGTTTGAGATTATTAATCTACTTGAGAATTTGTCATGGCAATTGTTTGAGAATAACGAAAGTCTCACAATGATCGTTTTAGTCATGATCTTCATTGAAGACTCGAAAATTGATATAATATCATTAAAGACAGTGTGAAGAATGACTGGCTTACCTGAAATTCCTTCAGTCGTCTTCAATGCAACTATTTACAATGTGTATTATCCATTTGCATTCAGTCATCTTGCGTCACATATAATAATTCATTCAAAATATTCTCGTCTCCTCACAGCTAAAATAAAAGAAGTAATTTCGGAGCTCAAACCTGCAGAAGGGAGAGTGCAAAGTTTAACAGGTATATATAACCTTAAACCTTACTGTTGATAATTTTTTCACGCTGACGAAAATATGCTTCGAATTATTCTCTCGAAATTATTACTAATGGTGACATCAATCATGTCATCTAGTGTGTGGCATATAGTGACATAACTTTCAAACCTTCCGCATTTCTGTTTCTTAGCCAAGATTCTTAGTCAGAATGCAAGCTTACGAGGAGAAATAGAAAACTGTAAGCAAACCGTATTTATTGAAGTGATGGACAACCTATTTTAGATACGGACTGCCTGGAAACTGCATACAAAAACAAGTGGGGAGAATTTACATTTACAGGTGCGTTATAAGAAATTCTTTTCATTTAAAACATAATTTTACTAGCGAAATGTATTCACTACACACTGTGCTTCCATTTGATGATTCAGAAGTCACTTTCTTGATATACTCCCTGTTGTTGATATGCTCTCTCACCGATCATTTTAGTAATAAATAATATCTATTCCACTGCGGCGTCATGAGTCTTTGAAAAGTTGTTAGCTAAAAATTGATTAGAGCCACTAAATATGTCAACGTCTTTGTATGTTTCTTAGAGATTATAAAACACCTGAAAATCCGTAAGCTTGATATTTTGAATCATTTCTATACTTATCTACCATCATAATTATTACTCGTCAATATTCTGGTCAACAATCTTCCTTCACCTGGCTTATATTCACGCGTTAACATCTCAAATATCATTATTTCATCAATTCATTTTATTTGCTAACATCAAATGAAGATGGAGAATTTCCTCATGCCACGATAAACATGAGAAAGTGAATGACCATAGATGTTTGACTGTTGTATATCTCATTTCGGATATTCGTTGACAGTTTGTCGACTAGTAAAGAAATTTTATTCGCCTCAATTATGATTGTGTTTGCATTCAACCTGTATCAATGTGTATATTTATTATATTGAAAACATTAGGAATGGATTGATATGTGTGAAACTAATTTATTTTCAGAGTATGGTGAAACATTAGGTGAAGTGTTAGAATGTAGCAAACAAGGTGCCTCTGAATATCTTGGTAAGTAACACTTTATTACGCTAATGGGTCCAAATTATTTTGTCTGTGTGGAGTAACGATTTTCCAAATTGCAGCCTCCACATAATGAAACTGTTTTTTTTCTCACAAATAGAAAAGAAGACAGCGTCCCCTGTAGACAAATGTCTCGAAAAGCTTCCTTCAGCGAATCGAAAAGGTATTCGTTTGCTCCTATTTTACATTCATGATGAAATTAATAACACTTTCGCATACACCTACGATGAAGGTATATTTTCACATATTACAATACCTTCATCCAAATCATGATTTGAATTCGTGAGTATCCACCTCTTATTGTACGATAGTCTATGATGAGAATTCTCCAAAAGTGGAAAAATAATGTATGGAGGAAGATGAACAACTTTATTGGTGGTATAGGATGTGGTTAGTCGTCTACAAAAGAAATTGTTCAGACGATGTGAATATAAGTAGAAAAACACAATCAAAGATAATCTGGTTAACGTAAAACTGAATGAGTACTAACGTAGTGACATGATGACTGCAGTTTGGACAAGGTGAAAAGTTAACATCATGAAAGTTTATTAAATAGTCAATTGGTTGAATCAGTGCGTGAAATAGATTATATTGGGTCATTTCATGTCACGTTATTTCGTGTTTAAATCTCATAATTTGATTCTGAGAAATCCACTCTGGAAGATATATTCCTTCACTAACTATTTCAGATCTGCAGCAACTGCAAGTAGAAATCGAAGGAGTATTCTACCACAACGGCTGGTTTAGCGTTGCAGTTTGTGAGTTCATTTTCTCTGTATAATTATTAGTCACATGTAATATTAGTTATCATACGAACCCAGTGATGTGAAATAAATTCTTCCACTGGTCAATTCAAATATTTCCCAATATGCTTCACCATTTCTAGTTTTTAAGAAACTTTACAAAAACCAGTTGAAGATGTTGAGAGGTGAGATATATTTTGCATCGAAATTCGCCTTCAATCATACGAAATTGACATGTAAGGATAAGGTGTGTTAATATAGTGCAGCTAAGAAACTCCAAGACACGAAATGTGAGACAGTCTGGATGGAGGATGATTAGTGGGCGAAGTACAACACAGGATTCGGATATTCACTGCAACAGCTAGATTACATTTTTCTTCATCGACTTTTCTCACACCATACAGCACAAATATAGGTCAATGAGTGAGGGGTTCAAATTGCAGTCTCGAATACGCCTGTTCAATTGAATGGTGAAAGCATCATCAGTGGCGTTGTAAGTTACCATGCGGATATCCCACAATGAATAATATCGTGGCAGTTCTAAATAGACGGTATCGTGAATGTATGAGAATACACATGCACACTTCAGAGGCGTCACTGAGGATATGCAAGCAAGCCAGTAAAATTCACACGAGTCTTAGTGAATTACTGAAAGACAGCAACTCATGTACTCAGACAAACAATGAGAATTGAAACTGTCACTCATTGAAAATACTCAGAATTCTCGGATTGCATGAATAAGCATACAGTTCACCAACAATCATCCTTCTCTCCAGTACACGTGTTTCTTGATTACTTCACCACTCATATTTTATTCAAAAATACTGCTAACTGATTTTATTCTCATACAGGAAATTGAAGAGAAGAGTACCAGGATGAATGTCCAAGTCGGCGTACTACTGAATAGATGTAGATTGTAGAAGCTTTCGTAAATATTTTCTTTTCAATAAAATAAATTAAATAAATCAATTATCTGCTACACCGATTTCTCTTCATGAATTCAAACGTTTATTGCACTGCTGGTTGTGATTGGCTGTGGTTAATATTCGAATTCGTGATGGGAAATTTTGTAGTGGGATGTCGTCGTCAGGAATGTGTTAGGGTGAGGCTGTCCCTTCAGAAGAATCTGCATTAGATACTTCTGAGAGGAGACAGCGTTTTCATGACACAAATTGTCCGTTGTCTTATTCACACGCATGAACCCTTTGGCACATTCAATTGGATCTATTGGAAAACGAAAGCGTGCAGACGTAAACGTGTAACTGACCTCAATTGGAATACAATTGTGTCAATGTCTTTCGAGTGATTAATCCCGGATAACACGGATCATATGAACCAAGAGCACGATATGCAATCGAAATAGTTTTAGCGAAACATGTTAGTCATTAATTTCAGTACCTAACATAGTGATAACAGTTATGCTCCTCAATACTGATAGCAAATAGATACATCTGAGTGAAGACAGGCCAGATAATATATAAATACGCTGTAATGTCTGTAGAATGAACATCTGAAAATCTGTATGTAACCAGCAAAGACGGGAAGGATGCATGTAAACACAGGAAACCATTTATTGCATTCCACTGTCTTGCTATTCGAAACTTCCTTGAGAGACTTCCAGTCGGAAAGCTATAAAAGACAGCTAGAATTTTTCTGCTATTCGCAAAATATACGTCAATGGATTGAACATCAAAAATAATAACACAGAAAACTCAAAATTACCTGATCAGTGTGAAAAAGCAGCTATATACGCAAGAGATATTTCATGTGCAAAAGAAGTAGTGTAGGGCAGAATTAGACAGCCGGAATTCAACCATGCAGAGGACGTGAAAATCAGGTAGAATATTCGCAAACAACGTGCCATCCACACTTTCTTCACAAGAATCACACACCAGCAAATCCTGAATGTAGTCCATGGTCGGAATCACCACGATCCATTCAAATGAAATCACACAGTCAAACAACACATTGTCAATGAGTCGTACAACCACAAATAGAAGAATTGAGATTGGAGGTCTAACAAGGAGAAAGACAAATATTAGGCATGAAGCTAACTCAGGATATCCAAGTGTAAGAACAATGATGCGTTATCCAAGGGGAGAGAGGATGATGACTACAAAGTTAGTTGAAATATTCAAATAAGGATACTTCTCGGAACTAGATTGTTCATGAGGGAATTTCCGAACAACGTTTCCGTCACACTGTAGCCTTATGCATTCGTTACAAATCGAATATACTGTAGAGAATATAAGGGATTGAGAAATCGTCCACTTTCAAATGGAATCACACTAACCGTGAGCAATTTTCCGAATAGTTAGTGCAGGAAACGCCGGATTAGGGTTTGAAGGAAATCGTTGATACTGAATTGTATTCGTAAGATGGTATTTCTATTTCCTGTATATCACATATAAATCAGTCGCTTCGCAAGCTCAGCCAAGTGTTGAATGTTTAGTATTGCAGAATTTAGGTGAGGTTATTGATATTGACAGAAATTTCCGGCATTGGAAATACTATGCATTTCTGACATCAGTGTTTCATCTTTCTTCCTCTGCACATCACATCATCACAATATTTAGCAAACTCACTGACGAAGTCATCAATTAGTTTGATCCCAGCTCTTGTAGGATTATCAAATAGGAGAGCCTGAAACATAAGACGATGACATGTGAATTGTGCTTGTGTATACGAGACACTGAAGCCTCCAGTGACATCAGTTCTGTTGTGCATACCACTTAGTGTGAATCAATTGGTTACTCATATTCACTAATACCTTCTTCAGTGTATATCTGTAAGTCACTGTGACACTTGATATGTGGTGCTTCCTGACTCATTCTCCAATCACTCAGTGATTTCACTCATCAACTAGACTGAATCATTTTAGAAAGATACACGACATGAAGAGTTGACCTGAGATAACTGAATAATGTCCATTCAATTGCCGGCGTTGTGATGTTCATTTCACTTGATTCCGCAATGAATCTGTGGAGATTATTTCACAAAACGATTTTTGATCAATGATTTCATACATCTCCCTTGATATAACTAACCATGTAGTTGCGAATTCAACTGGCATTTCACTAAGGATTGCCTCTGATTGTAAGTGTAATGATTTGAAGTGCTTCGATTCAGTGATCTACAGATGACGTGGAATTATCTTCTTCGTCACGAAATATACTTGAACATTCACAGGATTCAACCATTCATATTTCAAATACTCAACTGTGGGTTGAATAGCATCTTGGATGTGTTAGTTCCACCATGAATCTTAAATCTTCATCCAGATGTGTCTTTTAATATACACAGCCAGTTGCGCTGACACAATCGCTAGTTAGGGAAGTTAGCTGTGTGGTGATGATGCCGATTACGTGAACACATTCATTGAACAATTGATACATAGTGCATGCGCCTTTTTAAGAAAGGTTCATCACATCTTCACTGAATACTATACATCAATCAGGGTTGATTTCGTTATTCAAACATGTTCGTCAGAGCGATATAAGCATAGTCAAGCATATCACTGAGGAACATGCTACGTTAAGAATTTTATGCAAGTAATTCTCATGATGAAGTGGAACATTGAGAATAGCATCAAGCATACGGTAGCGAGAAGAACAACCAGTTTGAAAATTAATGTCGACTACTCACTCCACTGTGATTTCCATTTAATCTCACTTTCACATATTTCGCTATTCAGTCTTTGTTCTCGTCTCTGCCAAACTAGTCATGTGGACTATCAACAACTTTGCTTCTCATTCAATCTATTCAATAGCAAGTTTATTCTTAAGTGTGATTTAAACATTTCCTTCGTGATGACGGTGTAGAGTTTAAAACCTCATTCAACAGGAAGCTGTCTCATCACTCAGTATTAGACTTTCTTATGTTTGACTAAATCGAAGTCAATTCTACGGTCTTTCAACATGAATTCGTCAATAAGGAAGTAGGATTTTAATGACAGCGTGATGACGAATATGGAATACACCTAATAATCACTACTCGCTATTCATTAGTAAGTAGAGATTTCGTGTGAACTTGGGCAATCTCAAAGAATCCAAGTATCAAAAGAGAAAGTGAACTGCGTACTGTGCGTAATAAATGAAATGGCAGCAGCATGAGAATGGAACCATTGTGATACCAGATAAGTCAACGGAATCCTGCAGTTCAGGATATATAACGAAACACTTTGTTTATGAAATGCCCAGAATGCAGTTCTTCCATGACCATCACTGAAAATGATACCTACATGGATTTCAATTTGTTTGGTCTAATTGTCAAGTTAAATTGACACCACGAGCGTACATAGGATCATATCCATCTTGTATTATTAACATAGTGGTATTTGATAAACACCTCCAGATTTATGAAATATCGTGGTATCTACCTGAAACCAGATCGTCCGCGCTCTCACATTATTGGCACCCACGTGACGTCTTAACCTAAATCTGTTTGATCTTCCATCTGGTGAACAGTTTCAGTGGAATGGTATTCACAATGAAGATGTCAAATAGGGTCTAATATGTACTTCACGAAAAACGTTGAAACGCATTTCTACCTAACACATATGAAATTGAAGAAGGCGCTTCAATTTTGATTGAGTCAAGCTGTCTCCTATGCGACAAGTGATGTGTATCAGTGTGAGAGAGTAGAAAAATTGATTCAGTCAATTTATCTCCGATTTCCACTGATCGCGTTGATAGATTCTACGCACTTTCTGAAGTCCTATCGCTTTTCTTGCTTCTTTTAGCTGATCATGCTGAAATTGGATATTTCTACAACAATACAGTTAGCAATAGAGCTTTCATTTTCATCATTGCTATAATTAAAATATTTCTGCAGTAGAATAATCAGAAAGAGCAATAATTATACATTAGACACATATCGCGTGATGGTGACCTCAAATATCACAAATATTTCTTCATTCTGTAAACAATTACGCATTGCCAGAATCACCTCATTTGTAGAGTGATGATTAGCTTTACTTATCTCTATTCACCTGATACACGTGTCCTGAGCATTGTATATCATCAGTTGGTGTGCGTGAATTACCACAAATATTTCTTCATTCTGTATACTATCATGCAGCTCCACAATCTTCCTTAATCAATATTCAGCTAGCACACTGATTCATGATGGAACAAACGTGAAACACTCATTCTACCACTTTGAGAATTGAACTATTTTGATTATGTGAACGGGAATTCTAGGCTTTACTTACACGTATGTTCATCAAGTGACACATAGTTTCGCGTTTCTGTGGTAGACGTCAAAATGAGTGGAGAACACTTTCCTAGCTAATCTCATATTGACTAGCATTGCATTGTCGTGGTGTCATCACCACTGATCTTAGAAATCCCAGTATTGATTATTATTGATAAAGTTATTTCAAAAATACAAATATAATTAGACTTCTTATTATCCATATGTGTTTCAGGTAGAATATCAAGATTTAAGAGCACATCTTCATTTCATGTTTATCTCTACAGTCCCTTACAGCTAGCTGGCAATAATAATCATAGTAATAATAATTAAAATCGATTTATTCCAAACAGTATGGAGTTGACAGCATGTTCTAAATTGCTCCATTCCATTTGCTCGATACACAGCATATCAAAAGTTAAAGTAAATATTATCAGCAATGTGAAAATAAATCGAAAATAACCACTTATATTGACAAGAATATATTATTGACAGAAAGCATGGCAGTTGGCGTTTACCTGTTTCAGGTATCTTCAGAAGATCAACAGATTCATATCAAACCTGACTCTCATTTCCCACATGAAATCACAGTCGAATATGCTTTCCTCAAATTTTTGTATCACGTCGTCTGAAGATAGAGTCTACTACAATTGGTCGCAGTCCCACTCGATTCGATGAGATGGGAGAGTTGTGAATGAAGAGGCAGCTGTAATTCTGAGTAGAGGATATTCGACAATTTCTCGCATGAGTTCAAGTGACTGTCCACACACATGCTCCTTGCTGCTT